AGGAGAGCTGACATCTGATAGGTTGTTGATCTGGGGGTTGCAGATGTAAAAGGTATTTTTCCCAGCATTATAAGATTGTTCTAATGGATTGGTTTTTGCTCTGGGGGCAATTAGGAGAGAAGTTCTGCCATTTGAATAGTTGTTGTTCTGAGTGTTGCAGAGTAAGGAGATAAGTGCTGGCATCTGATTGGTTGTTGCTCTGGGGGATGCAGAGTTAGGAGAGGAGAGCTGACATCTGATTGGTTGTTGCTCTGGGGGATGCAGAGTTAGGAGAGCAGAGCTGACATCTGATAGGTTGTTGATCTGGGGGTTGTAGATGTCAGGAGAGGCGAGCTGACATCTGATAGGTTGTTGCTTTGGGGGATGCAGAGTTAAGAGAGGAGAGCTGACATCTGATTGGTTGTTGCTTTGGGGGATGCAGAGTTAGGAGAGGAGAGCTGACATCTGATAGGTTGTTGCTTTGGGGGATGCAGAGTTAGGAGAGGAGAGCTGACATCTGATAGGTTGTTGCTTTGGGGGATGCAGAGTTAGGAGAGGAGAGCTGACATCTGATAGGTTGTTGCTTTGGGGGATGCAGAGTTAGGAGAGGAGAGCTGACATCTGATTGGTTGTTGATCTGGGGGTTGCAGATGTAAGGAGTATTTTTCCCACTGACCACCAATGTCAGGAGCTGAACAGGGCGATCATTACACTAATGTGCTGTGAGCTGTAGATATAGTCATTATTAGCAGAGGGTCCCTGAGCCCAGAAAGTCTGTTCAAGGGTTCCTCTGTGTTTTATTTAATTTATTTAGTAGAAGTATTTATATAACGCGGACACTTTACACAACACTTTACCACTCAAGCTCTGGAAGGCTTTACCCTCTTTATGACCAGGCCATTTTGTGTCATTCGGCACTGCGCTACTTTAAAGTTGTGCAAAAAAATAAATGAGTGTACTTGTGAGCTACTATGGTGTTTGTCTAAACTATTACCATTAATTATTTTGACAAACAAAACAAAACACAATATATGATACACATGTGGTTCGCTGGCACTCACACCTACTCATTAGACAGTGTTCTGCGAGAAAATTAAATATATAAATTGTGCCGTGCTCCTGTGTATAAATAATTACAATATTCACTATTTCAAATGACAATCCAAAGTAAAAAAAAAATAAAATAAAATGATATATATACTTATATCTAGTGTATAAAATACAATTATCTTCTGCTTATAACATCATAAATAAATACCGCATACTGTGCTGGTGATCATCCCAGCAGTCCTATAAGGACAAAAAGCTAGTTTTTGCCTTTTTATAAGGCAAAACCTGAGGTGAGCGCATAATAAAAGCACACTGCACGTGGATTATGGGAGCGGCATTGCACCATCATAATTTAAATTGAAAGAGGACTGTCTATGAGCACTTTTTCATATATATTGTTTTTATCACTATCACTATTTACTATTGTCACCAGCACAGTATGCGGTATTTATTTATGATGTTATAAGCAGAAGATAATTGTATTTTATACACTAGATATAAGTATATATATCATTTTATTATTTTTTTTTACTTTGGATTGTCATTTGAAATAGTGAATATTGTAATTATTTATACACAGGAGCGCGGCACAATTTATATATTTAAGCTACTTTAAAGTTGTTCTAAAGGCAGAAGGTTTTTTACCTTATAAAGCATTCTAGGCATTTAGGTAAAAAAAATCTTCTGTGTGCCCCCCCCTTATACTCACCTTAGCCTCCTCACAATCAAGTGATGTGCATGAGAACCGCAGCTCTCTGAGGTATCTCTGCCCTCATTGGCTCACACAGCAGCAGGGGTTGGGGCCGAGCTGCATTCTGTGTGTGAATGGACAATGTCGCCCTATACCTGGACATACATGTGTGTGTTCCAGTGCAGCCAGGACGCTCGTCCTCAGAATAAACACAGTGAGTGGTCAGATATAACTCCCATACATACATACACATACTGGGGCCAATTCATACAGGAGCCAATTACCCTCCCAGCATGTCTTTATTCCGGATTAGCAGCATTTTACAGCACTGATGATATCATTCTGTTCCTCTTTATAGGTCTATGTCTTCTATGTTCGTGGCAAAAACTGGAATCACTATGACTGGTCTGCGGTGACCACAGTGGCTTTATTTGCACCTTATGACCCCGAACTGATGTGCTTTGCACACTCCAAAGGAGCAAGATTCGTACTAACGGGTGAGAATGGCATGTGAAATGGCTTGTTCATGGCTCATCAAATGGTGTTAAAGGGAAAAAATATTTTTGACATTTGTTAGATCCAGTTTAGTTACCTCAAATGCTTGGCATACTGCGTCCAGAGGGCTGCTGAGGATGCTAAAATCATACGTGTAATAATGGTGGATTTATGTCAGCTGTGATCTTCCAGCTCAGTTGCTGTGAGTTCTACTACTAGTGATGGAAGGGGGTCGCTCATGCTCTGCCTCATCCATACAGAAAATGTTTTGTATCCTTTTCATGGAATACAAGGTGTTCTGTGATTGGAAGAGGGGAGACCATGACATTCAACTGTGACTGGATGAGGGGAGATCAAAGCTAAGACCTCATTTACAAGGGGTGCATACATTCATACACTGTGTGACAGCTGTGTGAGAGATGCACAGGTGTATCCCCGTGTGGGTAGTCCTATTCGAGTCAATTGGGGTGCAGCAAATGCACAGACTCCCACAAGCAATGCAGCAAATGCACAGACTCCCACATGCAATGCAGCAAATGCACAGACTCCCACATGCAATGCAGCAAATGCACAGACTCCCACATGCAATGCAACAAATGCACAGACTCCAACAAGCAATGCAGCAAATGCACAGACTCCAACAAGCAATGCAGCAAATGCACAGACTCCCACATGCAATGCAGCAAATGCACAGACTCCCACATGCAATGCAGCAAATGCACAGACTCCCACATGCAATGCAGCAAATGCACAGACTTCCAGAGTAACATGGACGCACAGCCATGAATGCACCATAAACTGAGCGAGCTGCCAGGCATCTAATGTAAACAAGCAGCAGGTGCTGTAAGCAGTTAGCAATGGCCTGAAACCCAACTTCAGAGTCTCTGTTGTGATCTTTGAGGATTAATTACTTCACAGTGCCTGCAGCTACAAAGGTCAGTGAGAGCTTCTTTACTGCTTGTGAGAAAGTTCAAAGCAGAATTAAACTCTGCTGCTGGCACCCAGGGTTTTTGCCATGATGTGTACGTATGCATAGCATATTTGTACAATATGACAGACCTGTCTCCCAAAGCGCCGGACTACAGGGCTATGACGGGCGCGATGACCCTCATTGCTCCAGCACTGCTCCTGACATCTTTGCCTGATCGTTTTCCAGGTTAGGCATCTTCAACCACCATGAAGGACTGGCCCAGGATGACTAAACTCCCATGGCACTTGCACAGGAGTTAATTCATTCTGGTAGATGCGGGGATCATACACTCACCTGTACATTCCCACCTCAGTGTACATTCCCAAAAACAGGTAAAACAGGCAGGCAAGACAAAGAGAGAACGTGTGTGTAAAAAAAAAAAAAAAGGTCCCGGTCCATATAAAAACTATCTATTATATTCATTTATATGGAAACTATTATGGTTTGGGTCAACTGTGTGATTTTTTTTTTTTTTTATTTTTTTTTTTTTACATTGCTACAATTAAAAATGGCTGAAAATTGGCAAATTAATATGGGTTTTTGAAAAGAGAGAATACGGAAGGGATTTCCCTTCCTACAACGTCTTTCTCAAAGTAAATGTTAATTTTTTTAAGTCCAGACCAAAATAAAGTCCTAAGGGAAATATATACAGAACCACTAAACATTCCCTTTAAAGCAGAACCTCACTGTCTGTCAGCATTGACTATTTTTAATCCTTATTCTGCTAACAGTAGGAAATTATATATTTACTTGTTTTACACTTTTTTTTTTTTACATTTCTTCAGTTACTTCCTGGTTTCCAGGTCTAGGCAAATGATGTCATACATCCCAGGAGTCTTCAGGAGGGGAGGAGAGGTTTTCTCTGCTAAACACACCCTTCTGTCTGCGTGCCTGAGCTAAGGGCAGATGGATTACAGGAAGTACAGTTAATGTTACATGAATCATTTGCCCTTACTCATGATGGTCACAGCCAGGAAAGCTAGGGGAGTGTTTTTAAAATTGATTTCTCAGCAAAATAAAGCATGGAGACATGGATGGGGGGGAGGGGGTTGATTTGAATATTATACATTAATAAATTATTATTATTATTATACAGGATTTATATAGCGCCAATAGTTTGTGCAGCGCTTTACAATATAAAGGGAGACAGTACAATTACAATACACTTCAATACAGAAGGAATAGGAGGGCCCTGCCCATGGAGCTTACAATCTAAAATAGAGTTTTGTGCTGCTAGATGCAGTGTAGTTCCGATTGATGAAGGGGCTGGAGAACAAGAGAAATTTTTGTTACAGAACTGAACGTGTCCTTTTAACGCTGTAACCTTCCCAAGTGACAGTATAAATCTCCTTTGCATTAAGGGCCTGTTCACACCACAGGCAGTGTGCAGTTTTTTCTGCTGCATCAAAAAAGCATGGAAAAAAGTTTATATGGGTTCCAATGGCATAGTTTACACCAGCACAGTGTTTTTCAGTTCAAGAAAAAAAAAGTAAAACATGATGCTTTTTTTTCCTGCACAGAACTGCACTGGAACGCAGTGAAAAGCATCAAAAATACATAAAAAACCCGGACCCCAGTACAGTGAAAGAAAAAGGAAAAGGAAGCAAAGGAAAAGCATTGTCTTGGTGAAAATAAAGATTTTGCCATTGAAATGAACCAAAAAAAAAGCATCTGGAACTAATCAAACGCACTTGAATTCATCAGAAAAGCATTAAAAAATGCTCATGTGGAAACGCATGTGGAACGGATCTGCAAGGCGTTTTTGTGGTGTGAACTGGCCCTAATTCTTGTTTTGCATTTCAGGTGATGTATCAGTGAAGGAAATTGTAGACCCAAAGAAGAGAGCTGCCTGGATTGCAGAGAAGGTGAAGCTGGCCAAGACTCAGTACATGGATGGGATCAATTTGGACATCGAGCAGCCAGTATTTCCACATACACCCGAGTATTACGCTCTTACAGATCTGGTGAAGGAAACCACAGAGGCCTTTCACAAAGAAATCCCTGGATCTCAGGTGACAACACAGCTTTTACTTAGAACTTGTTTGGAGAGGACAAGTCAACAAGTTTACAGGATTTATATAGGCTTGGCCCAAATTTACCCCCCTTTCTTGATATGGATCATGTATTGGTATTGATTCATTCAACATGACTAAAACTATTGCAGGGGCAGCTGCTGGGAGCATAGTTCCTATTGATGTAGGGATGACTCCCAGAACTACATCTCCCAAGAGCTCTTTCCTTAAACAGATTATTCTCAGGCTCACAGGCCCATTTCACATGGACACCCTCTGTACTGTCTTAGCAGGGAGTCCTAGACTGATCTGGTCAGTTCAGAAGAGATACTGATCTCAAATACTTTGCATATAGTATGTGACATGCAGGGGCGGACTGACAACTCATGGGGCCCCCAGGCAATAGGGGATCATGGGGCCCCTGTGTCCTTGGCCAAACTCAAAAAAGCCTATGAAAAGGGTACCAGGGGCATCTCATGGGGCCCTCTACTGACCCCGGGCCCTCGGGCAGTGCCCGAGTTTCCAAATGGTCAGTCCACCCCTGGTGACATGTATGCCCCTGTGCATGTCCATTCCCACCGCAGTCTGGAACAGACTTTTATATAATTATTAATTGTTACAAATGTACAGTGTAAGAATGCTTCCACGTTTTCACCTATTCACATAATTCCTGTTTTGGAAGCTGGATTTTGGATCTCACATCTATTTTAATAAAATGAGAAAATCTAGTTCACTTAAAGTAGAAGTCCAGTCAAAAGCTTAAACCTGCTCCCCCACCCTAACTACCCTGTAAAGGAAAGATGCTTATACATAGCTATTCTCAAGGTGCTCCAATACAGTCACTTGATCTGCTCTCAGCGCTGCAGGGGAGAGGAGGGACAGCGGACAATGGATGCCCCATAGTAAGCCTATGGGCAAAGTCACCATACAGGTTCTGCAGCCATTGTCACTGCTCTCTCCTTTCCCCTGAAGCTGGCTGCTGGGTCTGAAACTCCATTTCATTGCAGGCCACATCAGCATTATGGTTGCAGCCAGTTGTATCTGTAAGACTAAATGTCCAGAGCACCCCCCTCCCCGGCCTCAAATCAGATGTTAAGAGCCCCCCTGCCATCAGAAGTCAAGAGTCCCCCACCCTCCCTTACATCACAATGCACCCACCTTACCTTGTGCTGCTGTCGGGAAGGCGAGTTGGGAATCAGAAAATTCAGGGTCTGGAGAAGGACAGAGGATGGCTGGAGTCATGGGCCGGAGTTTGATGAATGCTGAGAGCAGGGACGGAGATTAGGGGGTGCTGCGGCTGCATAGAGAGACGCAGGATCTGTAGGAGGATTTCTGTCCTCCTTGTCCTACTCTCTGCTGCTGTCTGCTTAGATGAACAGGGAAGCAGAGGATCTGGCAGAGGGGTTCTGTCCTACTCACTGCTGTCAACTGGGGTGGAGATGAAGGGGTTACCGCAGCTGTAGGAGATATGGAAGGGCCACATGAAATGGCATGGAAGGGCCACACGAAATGGCATGGAAGGGCCACACGAATGGCATGGAAGGGCCACATGAAATGGCTTGGCAGGCTGGATTCGGACCGTGGGCCTTGTGTTTGACAAATGTGCTTTACAGGGTAGTTAGTATAGGGCTTAGAATGGGGGTGAAAGCAGGTTTAAGATTAGTTAGATTTGACTATACTTCCACTTTAACTTGTTTTTTTTTACAAAAGAAGAGAACTGCGGGCAGTTATGAGATCTTACCTTTGGGCAGAAGAGGTCCTATTTCTCATAATACTGTATATCCCTAGCAGGGCTTACAATTACTTCCTTGCTAATTGTTCAAGGTACTCTATTCCTAGTTGTCAAATCTTAGTACCTACTCTTATCTTATCCCACTAAAGTAATATCTCTCTTACTGTCAAATGGAACCTCAACTGTCCCTTGTTCACACTCCTGCCATTTTTATTGTTCACATATCTCACTTATCTAGTACTCTCGCTTTCCTATCCAACAAGGCCAATGACTGTCCTGTACTCACTATTCTGCCATCTCTTAAAGTGATCTAACTAGTCTCAAACTAAAAACAAGAACCAACTCACAATTCACCTTCCTAAGAAAAAGAGCACCAAATTAATACAAAACCCCCCTTTCATCCAACAGGTTTAGCCACATTAAATTGTGGCTTCATCAGGAGTGCTGTAAAAATACAAATGGCCAGTGCCCCAAAATAATCAAACTAATAGCATGTAAAATTGCGATGCAACGGCAGCCCCATACTTCTTCCATGACTTTCGCTCAAAATATATTTTTGGATTGCTTGGTGGTGTACAGTTTTCAATAGGAAAGTTTATCTAAATTTCTAGAGGCATTCCTCTACAACAGTGGTCTCCAAACTGTGGCCTGGGTGCCGGATGTGGCCCTTTGCTTGCCCTTATCAGGCTCTTGGGGCACTATTCCACCCACTGATACAAGGCACTATTACTTCTAATGACAGCAACAATGGGGCATAATTACTGTTACTGATGCCAACAATAGGGCACTATGCCTACAACTGACACCAATGATGGGGCATTATTTCTACCACTGACACCAATGTTACTGAACTATTCTTTCCCACTGACACCAATGTTGGGGCACTATTCCTTTCCCTGATACCAACAATGGGGCACTATTCTTTTCTCTGATCCCAATGATGGGGCACTATTCCTACCACTCCAGAATGCAAGTGTACAATCCAAACGCACACGTTCCTGCATTAAAAATAGCTGTGTGTATAAGTGGGTGCTGCAGCAACCGTCGGCTGGAACCGAACAGAATCAGTAAGGGAAAATGTCACCAGCACATCAAGGATCACCAATATGGGTCCAAAAGTTTTAATGAACGATCACATAGTTACAGCAAGGCAACGTTTTGGAGTCTCGCAGGACCCCTTTATCAGGAATGTGACATGCCTGATGAAGGGGTCCTGCGAGACTCCGAAACGATGAAGGGGTCCTTGCTATGTGATCGTTCATTAAAACTTTTGGACCCATATTGGTGATCCTCGGTGTGCTGGTAACATTTTCCCTTACTATTCCTACCACTGACACCAATGTTACTGAACTATTCCTCCCACTGACACCAATGGTATGGAACTATTCTTCCTACTGACACCAATGATGGGGCACTATTCCTTTCCCTACTACCAACAATGGATCATGATTCCTCCCACTAATACCAATAATGAAGCATTGTTTATTCCCATTGACGCCGGGGCATTTTCTATTCAAGCTGGCCACAGTCCGGCCCCTTCAAAGTCGTAAGGACAGTAAACCGGCCCTTTGTTCAGAAAGTTTGGAGACCCCTGCTCTACAACAATGCCTTATAGAAATCCTACAGAGTATCTGCTTGTGATTCAGAAAATGATTATGTGCGTGTTTATACCATTGTCCAAGACTCCAGATCTGCATAGTTGCTGAGCAAGCAATCTGTTTTGTATACACGCAGATAAGATCCTTCTGGCACCCATTACTACAATCACCATCCATGTCCCCTCCAGCCATCTTATTGTGCAACGTAATAACAAGGTCATTAATGTTGTCTGCCAGATATTACATGATCATTCTAAACCTTTGATAGAAAAGAAACTAAAGTTGCTTTAAAGGAGATTTTTCTGAAGAAGAAAAGAGGCTGACGTTCATTCGTTGAATGTCATGCAGATCGGCTGGCTTCAGTACATTCTGAGTCACTGACCCAGAACCGGTTCTGAGTTTCAGGATCTTTGTTCTTGTTCCAGGTTACCAACTCAGATGGTGTTGCAGATGTAGATCAGCCAGGGAATTGGCATTTTCAGAAGGAAATCAGTAGTGACAGTCCCCATATTTCTTTTTATTTTAGGAAAGGTTTACTTTATTTTTAACAGCCTAACAATGCAGGAAGTGGAACTACACGGAGAATACAACATTTTCCAGCACATCCACTTCATTGGTAGAAGGAGCTATGTAGTTATTTTCTACCCCAAAAATTTTTTTAATTTTTTTTTTTTTTTGCATTTTTTGCTGTGTATGTGCAATTCAGTGTACAATGTTGGCATTTGCAAAATGCCAAAAGTTGGAGCCCAGTCCGGGATGATGCATCATGACTGTGTGACATATGACAAAGGGAAGAAGCAATATCTTTGGCTGTGAGGAAGGGCTTGGAGCTCCCACCTTTGGAATAGAGCAAACTCTGAGATAAGATAGAATAGTGTGCAAATATGCAATGCATTATGTACATTATAGCAAGTGCGTACCCCAACCTTCTGAGATGGAAAGAGTAACACCTTTTAGCACAGAATTTTTAGGCAAAGGGTATATTCCTTGCAACACCTCCAATTATGCAGCCTTTGACAAATTAAAGAGCAAGAATGATCATGGGGCTTTTTCACTTTTCTCTTTTGATATTTAAAATTAAAAAAATAAGTTCACCTTTGGAACATGTTACTTGTTCCACCCGTATTCGAAGTGGAACAGGTAACATGTTCCAGCTCCTGCTGCCTCTCCCCACCGATCCCTCTTCTCCATTGACAGCAGGAGGGGGTTCTACTCTCTGTCCCTTTTTGAGAGGAGTGCGGATTGTGTGGGGCTCCACCCACACAGCCGTGCCATTCATTCACTCTCTTCTGTGAGCACGTGGCTTGCATTGGGAGGTGAGATCCTACAGCTACAGAGACACAGAGTGCAAGCGATGGTGGAGGGAGGAGGGCAGAGAGCTGCTAGCCGCTGGATCACATGGCTGGATCAGGAGGCAAGATACTGTTACAGCCGCGGTATTGTGCATGGCTGTATGGAAGGTGTATTGGAGGTGAGGTCTTTAGAAATGAAGAGTGCTGGAGGAGGGGCAGAATGGAGGAGGCAGGAGGTAACATCCAGTGTATGACAGTATTGCTGCAGATTGCAGAGAGCTGGAGTACATGGCTGGATTAGGAGGTAAGATCCTGTTAGAGCCGTGGTATTGCACATGGCTGTATGGGAGGTGTATTGGAGATGAGGTCTTCTTAGAAATGCAGAGTGCTGGAGGGGGAGCAGAAAGGAGGCAGGAGGTAACATCCAGTGTATGACAGTATTGCTGCAGATTGCAGAGAGCTGGAGGACATAGCTGGATCAGACTGAATGTAGCATGATGTGAGATAATACTAGCTTTTTGTTATTATGCCATAAATGTACATAAAGCTGTTTTGATCTCACCTCCTACTACATTCAGTCTCATCCAGCCAAATGCTCTCCCTCTTTACATTCAGCGCTGCCATACACTGAATGCCACCTCCTCATCCAGCCATGTGCTTCATCTACAGCTCGCTGATCAGATCCAATGTTCCGTGAGCTGTAGATCTAAACATTTTTTTTTCAGGGGTTCCCTGAGATTTCAAACTTTTTGCAAAGGGTTCCTCGAAGGCAAAACATTTGAGACCCATCATTGGGTTTCTTTGCTTCTCTATGCAAGCTTTTTTCAACCAGGGAGCCTTTTGTGTTCTTCAGGGGTGCCTTGGCAAAATACCTAAACATTGGTTGAAAGTGCCCAAAAATTGTGTACAAGCCAGCAGGTGATCAAATGTGCTGTTTTGTTGCACAAAGCCACAGGTTTTTTTGTTCAGCATTAAAACACTGGGCACTGCGCAGCCGCCAGCATCCTAACAACCACTGACATCATTGGTTGACAAGGACATCAGGCACCTGCACAGCATCTTTGTTTGACCCCCCTGCCCCTCTCTGTCAGCACTGGGGGTCATGTTAGCTGCATGGGGCAGAGAAAACGTGGTAGAAGAAATGCTGGAATTCTAAGCAGTCCATTGTATTTGCTTTGAAATAATACGTTACCTTTAATGTGTGTCTGACATGTATGGTGGTTGCTGCGATGTGTGAAACTACAGGTTTAGTGCCTCAAGATCTCCATAATTTAAAAGGATGCCTCGACTGGATAAAGGTTGAGAAACATTGGTCTGTCTATGCAATGCAGGCAGATCGTGGCTGGTGGGAGGGGCTGGCAGGGAGCTGTATATAGTTACCTGAAAACATTGCAGCACCCGGCCTCAGTACTCCTCTCCAGAGCCCCCAACCCTGATGCAAGTAGTAGGCTGACCTTTTTGGAGGACCTATGCAAATATTAAAATGCCCTGATAAGTGGATGTCATTTTGGAGCAGGGGGTGTTCTAAGCAAGCTGCATTTGCATGCAGTCCTTGTACCTTCTGGACAGATTACCCATCGATTATTGTAAGCTCCAAGGATCAGGGCCCTCCTAACCCTCTTGTATTGAACTGTATTGTTTCTGTATTGTCTCCTGTTATATTGTAAAGTGCTGAGCAAACTGTTGGCGCTATATAAATCCTGTATAAAAATAATAATAATTATGGGAACCAAAAAAAAATAAAAACCTGGCTGGCCGATTCCTTCCCCTCTTTGTGCAAAAACAAAATTGGGTGGGGGTTCGGGTTTAATGTATGAAATTCTTTAATTCAGATGTACTTTACAATCTACATTACTCTCATTGCAGGTGACATTCGATGTTGCGTGGTCCCCCAAATGTGTGGATATCCGTTGCTATAACTATTCTGCCATAGCGGAGCTGTCTGACTTTGTGTTTGTAATGTCCTACGATGAACAATCTCAGATCTGGGATGAATGTATTGCTGGAGCCAATGCGCCATTCAACCAAACCATAACCGGTGAGCATGGAGCTGCGTTTTGACATGTTATTTATTAGTGCCAGTATATTCCACAGTGCTTCACAGAGCGCATAGAAGCTTTTTCTTTAGTCCCTGCCCCAGAAGAGCTTCTAGTCCGTGTTTATTGTCAACAGAGTGGGGTGTGCCGCATCATCACGAATCCCACATTCTTAGTTGATATCATCTGCATTCTTGAAATAGATGTCTAAAAAAAATTGCATATTCTAAGGCGTATGACCAGTTTAAAGTGGCACTGAACTCAAGTAAAAAAAAAAAAAACTGTTGACAGGCAGGGTTTGTATAACAGAGGGGATTCTACTAATCTGTTATAAATGCCTCCTCCTGTCTGTCAGCAGTAGTATAATCTGAGCCACACACATGCGCAGCTCATACCACATTTACAGCACCCACTCTGTACCAAAGTGATGTGACTCACATGCATGGGAGTGACGTCATTGTGGCCCGGTCACTCAAGTGGCCGAAGAACCAGGTAGGGAGACTGGTGAGGATGGAAGGATGGAGCAATGACACAGCGCTGGAGGGCTCAGTTTGATATGTAAATCTGTCCTAATGTGCTAGTATGTGCTGCATACTACAGTATAATGGTATGAACCTACAGGGGAGCCATTTTTTTTTTTTTTTTTTGGTTGGAGTTTAACTACTTAAAGACCAGGCCTAGTCTGATACTTTTTGTTTACATGTAAAAATCTGTATATTTTGGCTACAAAATTATTTAGAACCCCCAGACATTATATATATTTTTTTAAGCAGAGAACCTAGAGAATAAAATGGTAGGTTTTGCTATTTTTTTATACCACACCATATTTGCTCAACGTTTTTTCAAACTCAATTTTTTTTAAATAACTACACGTTAATGAATTTTAATGCACAAATACACAATATAATTTCCAATTGTTTGGTAAAATATAAAAGATGATGTTCCGCCAAGTAAATAGATACAGTACCTAACATGTTACGCTTTAAAATTTGTGCACGCTCATGGCGCCAAACTACAATACTTAAAATCTGCATAGGCAACAATTTAAAAGCCTTTACAGGATACCAGTTTACAGGAGGTCTGGTGCTAGAATGATTGCTCTCGCTCTGATGCTCACGGTGATACTTCACATATGTGGTCGCTGTTTATGTAGGGACCAATGCGTGTGTTGGGATGGGGGGCGCTTCCTTGGCCGACCACTACATCAACGGTCCTCAACATTTTCAGTTTGTTTTTGCTTCTTCAAAAGAACTTAACAGCATTTTGAAACCCCAGTCTGCTTTGAAATCTTTGCCTGGGAGAGACCTTGCTGATGCAGTATAACTACCTGTCTTCTTGCCATGGTGTATGACTTGTGACATCAAACGGTCTTCCACAACCTCACCTTAGTAGCAGAATTTGGAACCACTTTAAAACTTGGCAAGGAACAGCCAAAGTCTTAAAGTTTTTACCTTCATGCATTCAGTGCTTGAAGGTAAAAAATCCTCTCTGTGTAGCAGCCCCCCCCCCCCCCCCCCCCAACACTTACCTGAGCCCCCTCTTGATTCAGCTATGTCCATGAGATCCTCGGTTCGACGGGGACTCTCACTTCTGATTGCAGCAAGAGCCATAATCCAGTGGCTGTGTGTGTGGCTCTTTGTGTGAGAGCCACAGATTGTGACCATGTCTGTTCGGGTGCCCAACAGAAGGGAGGGGCCAGGAGCACCGGTGGGGGACCCGAGTATCCGGGCTGTTCTATGCAAACCCATTGCACAGAGCAGGTAAGTATGACATGTTTGTTGTTTTTAAGAAAGGAAAAAAAAACAAGACTTAATGCAGGCCATAGATGGGTTGAAAATCGGCTGATTTTTCGGCCGAAAATAAAATCGGCTGATTTTCGGATCGTTAGTGGGTTAATAGGTCGGCCGTTTTTTGGTATTTTGGCAGATTTTTTGTATCGGTAAAGTTGGAAAAAGATCGGCCGGATTTCGCGGCAATTATGGGCAAATCGGCCAATCTTTTTACCGATAAAAAAATCTGCGCATGAGCAGTGACCTGCAAGAGGAAGACAAAAAGAAGAAAGAAGAAGAAGAGGATGAGGAAGAAGAAGAGGAAGAATGAATGAAGGAAGATGAGATGAAGAAGAAGAGAAGATGAAGAAGAAGAGGATGAAGAAGAAGAGGATGAAGAAGAAGAAGATGAAGAAGAAGAAGATGAAGAAGAAGAGGATGAAGAAGAAGAGAAAGAAGAAGAAGAATTCCAGTCCGGTAAAAAGTGTCCCTGCAGAGAGCTCCGCTATTTCTTTGACAGTTCTTTGACATTTATAGCGGCTGCAACAATGTATCTATTTGTTTCCGAATAAAAACATCTGTATCCGAAATGGATACAAATAGATACAATGTTGCAGCCGCTATAAATGTCAAAGAACTGTCAAAGAAATAGCGGAGCTCTCTGCAGACACTTTTTGCCGGCTGTAGACGGGATGAAAATCAGCCGATTTTTTTTTTTTTTTTTTTTTTTTTTTTTTAACGTTCCTGGTAACGTCGGCCGATTGAACAACCGATTTTTCATTTTTTTAAAGAAAAATTGTCCGGTTTTCACCCCATCTATGGCCTGCATTACACCAACGATTAAAAAAAAAGGCCGACAAGTTCACCCCATATAACAGCCAAACTTCTGTCTCTTGCAGGTCACGGCTCATGCGCTGATTTCTTATCGTTAAAACGATCGGCCGATTTGGCCATCATTGCCACGAAAATCGTCCGTTTTCCGCGAATTTTCCAACATGCCCGATAATCTAAAATTCCAAAAAAACCCGAAAACCGGCCGACCAATTAACCCACTAACTGTGCGCAAATTGGCCGATTTTTCGGCCGATTTTCAAACCGTCTATGGCCGGCATTAGTATCACTTTAAGCCTCCTACACAGCTGTCTCTGTTTCAGTTAATGACTGTGTTTCAACCTACATATGAAATTGATGATCATTAGCACCTGCTTGGCATAATTGGTAAATCATACACCTGACTATAATACTACAAAATCCCTGACTTTGTACATGTGTATAAAGTGTGCAAGTGTAAGAATTGATGCTGGTTTGAAGACAAAGGGTAGTCACACCAAATATTGATTGGATTTAGATTTTTCTTCTGTTCCCTCACTTTGCATTTTGTAAATTGATAAAAATAAACAATTAAAATGTGTTTTTTTGTTAAAGCATCCTTACTTTGCAGCATTTCTGTACACCTGCCTTAAACTTTTGCACAGTACTGTTTGTAAGACAAATTTGCTAAAAAGTAAAACATTTTTCAGGTTATGAGCAGTTCATTGATATGGGAATTGACCCTAAGAAGCTTGTAATGGGCGTCCCGTGGTATGGTTATGATTACGTCTGCCTCAACCTAACAGAGGTATGTTTGTATTCTATGTCTGTGTGCAATGCAATCAGCTTTGTCATTTTATATAATCATAGCGACAGCTGTAGTTGAACAATATATTTGAAAGCTTTGCTTCCTTCTTACTGTAGGCTCTTATCTTGGCATTGTTAATGGTCCACTTAGATCCATAGTGATTGTAAGATATTATAGTCTCTAGTTCAGGAAAACTCCTGATTGTAATGTCTGATTTATACAGTAGGTAGTCAACAGAGGGAAGACTGGACAACACAGATTTTGCTTCCTGAACACTTTTTTAGTGTATCTTCTAGATTTTTGGCTGCTAATCACAAAAATAACCTTTTAATTAAACCTATCCTGTATCGTTTTATAGAAAGCTTCTGTTTTTGCAGTTTGCAACACCTGTTGGCTATGCTGCTGTCAGGGTTCGGTGCGGCGCCTCTCCCGGCGCACGCGCACTAGCGGAGGCTCACACCGGGACACAAGCACCAGGTCCCGGCGGGCCGCAGCTGACAGGATGCCGCGCATGCGCAGTAGGAGCCGCGGGCGTACCTCGGGCGGCATTTATCTGCTGTATCCTGCCTGACCCAATGACAGTGCAGGGCGCAATATTTAAAGATGCCCTGCACTGTCACAAATTGCCTGGTGGGCCTGCTCAGAGGTCGGGACCTGGCCCTGGTCTGTTACAAGTCCATCCCCACCATCAGGGGCCCTAGTGAAAGCACAGACCGGGACTTAGACTCCACGCTCTGGGTAGGTCTGTCAAGTGGGCAGGCGGAGGCACCACCTGGCGGATCATAACAGCTGCACACATGAAAGAAACATATGAAAACATGGAACTGTTGTTGAAGCACATCCAGTACACCAAGTACAACTGGTATATCTACAGAGATCCAAAAGTAGTGGCCATGCTGCTTGGAATGAAGCTCAGATATACCAAGTACTGTTGTCACATGTGTGAATGGGACAGAATCGCTTTATATGAAAAAGAAAAAGGCCACCCCAAAAGAATTTGGTTCATAGACAGAAAGCATGTAAATTTTGCAATAATAACTCAAAATGTGTGCTCATTAAAATTGCAGTGTTTTGTAACAACCGGATATATTGTATTTAAAAAAAACAGTTATCAAAAGTAGACCTAAAGTCAAGAAGATCCAAAAATTGGAGCAGTCACCAGAAAGCGATAAAGGTGACATTTTCCACTGGGGGACACATGTTCCAGTGATAACTGGGCTGCAGCTTGTTTGGCTGGGGGGGGGGGAACATGGGTGAAAGGAATAAGTACAAATACCTACTTTATTCCTCGCTCCTACAGGTTATGCTCTCTTCATGAGGAAAGAACAAAGAGGGCGCACAGGCCTAGTGCATTACCATAAAAAAATGTTTAATAAGAAATAAAATCGGTGTTGTACTCACAAGCGAGAATAAAGTCAAGGCACATCATAAAAGAACAGCTGGGTCAACACCGTGCTGAGTAACAATCCACAATGGGGAGTGTAGACGTCCAATAGGCTCTGAGGAAGAGGCAAGTCCTCGATACGCGTCAGCCTATTGGATGTCTACACTCCCCATTGCGGACTGTTACTCAGCACGGTGTTGATCCAGCTGTTCTTTTATGATGTGCCTTGACTATATTGTCGTTTCTGAGTACAACACCTATTTTATTTTTTATTAAACATTTTTTATGGTAATGCACTAGGCCTGTGCGCCCTCTCTTTGTTCTTTCCTCATTCAGTATATTTGGATTCTCCGGTCCATTTGAGGGCAGCAAGGTGTGCATGTTCCAGGACATTCTTAATGTGGTTGTAGCCTGCATCGAGTCCATCCCCAAGCGCAGGAGCATTTGTGTTTGCTGGATCATTATGCTCTCTTCATGCCACCATTTCCCAGAAGCTGCTTCACTGCCTGACCAGTCACAGCTCTCTGATGTCATCATGTACAATGTGGGTCCAGCAATCCTGCATTGTATGGGAGGGCAGCAAGGACACCCCCACATTCCAGGGCATTGGAAGCTGAGGAGAGTGCTGACTTACACACACTCTGGCCAGATGAGCATTTAACCCATGTAGTGCAAGGGGAATCCACGGCATGGGTACATTTAAAAGCACCTTGGAGTTGGGATCTTGCTGATACTGAAGCTAGCAACTTCTGGTCAACTTTTATTAGCAGAGAATTACACCTTTTTATTCATATTTTATTATTTCAGGTACTTATATAGCGCCATCAATTTACGCAGGGCTTTACATGTATATTGTACATTCACATCAGTCCCTAACCCTCAAGGGGTGTACAGTCTACGGTCCCTAACTCACATTCAAACACACACATACTAGAGCCAATTAACCTACCAGCATGTCTTTGGAGTACCCGGAGTAAATCCACGCAGGCACAGGGAGAACATGCAAACTCCAGGCAGGTGGTGCCGTGGTTGGGGTTCAAACTGACGACCCTAGTACTGCCAGGGGGAAGTGCTAACCGTTTAGCCCACTGTGCTTCCCTAAAAATATATATTCACAACATCAAACAGAAATGAAGTACTGTCCTCAAGCTACAGTCCTCTGACTAAGGCTGCTTTCCGATGGGGCAGACTCCGTTCCGATCAACAGGGGATCAGCTTACAGATCCCCTGCTGATCAGAGGAGAGCGGGCGGATGACATGTCTGTGTCCGCTCAGTTTATACGAGAGGACATGGACACAGCCCGCTGTGCTCTATGGGTGGCTGGAAGTAAACTGTCTCCGCTGCACCCAACTACCTATGATCTGCTCTGCCTAGACAAAAGAGGACGGATCCCCTTATGTTTTTTTTTTTTTAAACCTGCTGGTCCACAAGAATGCATTGACTTTCCAATTAGGTCCACCTGAAAAACTGGCAGGTGGTCCTGATCAGATCGGGGAGAGAGAGGTGCTGGGATTGCCGAAGTGTTACAGGAGCCAATGCAGGAATCCGGTAAGCCACCAGAGAGCCGCCGCGAGAGGTTCAAAGGAGCTGTCAAGTGCCAGGATGATGTGTCCAATCAGGGACACATTTCGGAGGCTAATCCATGCTTCCTTTCTCAGCCTAATTGACGTCCTATCCTCCAGGAATGTATACTGGTCACTGTTAAGCCTATTGTCACGGTCTGGGTCAGGTTCAGAGACCAGTTGCTACAGCAGTGTAAGGCTTACCTGAAACCAGCAGGGTTGGTACACCAGCAGATCACCCTGAGAATGATGCAGGCTCACCTGAGGTGCGGGGTCTAAGTATTAACCGGTTTTCCCCAGAGCTCCTAATGGTGGAGATGGATTTGGCTGCGTGCTAATACCAGGTCGCAGATCTCAGGATCACCCCACCAGGGAATGAACAAGCTGGAAACCAAAAGCGGATCAAACAGATTAGGGATCAATCAGACATGGAGTCAGTCACAAGCCAAGGGTCGGTCACAAATGGTAGTAGTTAGGATGAGGCAGAATCGTAGTCAGTAGCAAGCCAAAGGTCGGTAACGAAGATGTAGACAGCAGCAGGAATGGTAAGCGGGATATTGGCTGGGAAGGCACAATAATCTGGCAAGGAGGAAGTGTATGGACATGGCTTTTATAGGAAGTTCATGGGAGGAGCAAGGAGTTCAAGGTTCAAGACAAACAGGGCCAAGGCAGGATCATCCAAAGAATTGTCAAGGGAGCTGTCCAGCATTCCAGGTGGCTCAGTGAGAAGAAACATTGCCTCTCACCGCAGAAGGCCCAGATTCAATCCCAGGCTCTGACACCTATCATGTCTAAAAATGGATAAAAGGACCTTATCAGATCCGTTTTGTGAAAAGAGTCTTATATGTACACTCCCAAAATCAATTGCCAAAGTGCAACAGTTGGAGGTTGTGGAGTATCTGTAAAGTAATAGTTCATGTGATCTGTCATTAATTGCCTTAAAAAATAATTTTTGACTCTGTTCTGTAAATTTGTAAACATTCATAATGGACTTACATTTTGCATTTCTCTAAGGATAACAAGTGTGATTTGGAGAAACGTCCATTCCAAGGTGCTCCATGCAGTGACGCAGTAGGCCGCCAAGTAGCCTATGGGAAAATTATGAAGCAGGTGAACAGTTCTCTGACAGGGCGGTTATGGAATGATGAGCAGAAGGCTCCTTTTTATAATTATAAGGTTAGTGTGATTGCTCCATTGCAGTATTTTGCTCTTTGTGCTTTCCATTCAGATCACTTAAGACACTTTATATAAAATGTTTACCAGGACACGGCGGGGAAAGACCCATCAGGTGTGGTACGACGACCCAGAGAGTATAACACTGAAGGCAGCCTACGTCAAGAAGCTCGGCCTCCGAGGGATTGGGATGTGGAATGGAGACCTCTTGGATTATTCTCATGTTCCAGTAGCCCAGCAACAAACCAAGGCCATGTGGAAGGCTTTAGTACCATAACTGCTGCTGGTGACCAATCACCTAGAGCCCAGGAACACAAATGATTTTCTCCTGGGTATTACATTGTAGATGATCCTAAAGCAAAATTTTATGATTTTCATTTCAATCAGCTAGTCTGGAAAATAAATTAAATAGTGTAAATTATGGTGATTTAAAGCCCAACTCTGGAAAACTGGAAATTTTTCCTTACAGTTGGGCTGCACCCGCACTGCAAGGGACAACTGCCCATTTATGTTTAAGGGCATAGAAAAGAAAATGTATTTGCTATTGCTATACCAGTCCCCACAGCATTTTCTCCCCCATGCTGCAGTGGTCTAAGGTCCTGACTTCATCAAGACCAATGCAGCATCCAAGGCCTTATATTGATTGTAATGATGCAGAGGGACAGTCCACTGCCAGAGCATGGGGGAGAGTGGAGGATCTGGTTAATTAAAGTGCCTTTACTTTCCCCTAGAACAGGGGTGGGCAACTGTGGCCCTCCAGCTGTTGTAGAACTACAAGTCCTATGAGGCATTGCAAAACTGAGTTACAAGCATGACTCCCAAAGGCAGAGGCATGATGGGACTTGTAGTTCACCAACAGCTGGAGGGCCACAGTTGCCCACCCCTGCCCTAGAATAAATGAGCAGTTAACTCTTGCTGTGCAGGCTCAGCCTCAAGAGAGTTTTCAGATTTCACAAGGTTGGGCAAAAAAAAAAAAAAAAGAGGATGGCTAATAAATAATCATCTGTTTACATTACTGAAAATATTTTTTCAAATAAAATATATTTTAAGGTTTATTTTTATCTTTCAGCTGGTTATAGTTCTAGTTATTAGTAGACCTAAATTCAATACTTTTTAAGGGCTGGTTCACACCAAAATTTCTGTGTTTGGATGTGTTTCTGCACGTGCGTTTTTAATGCATTCTGGTGCATGTTTGAGGTGTTCAGGTGCATTTTTTATGCGTTGTAGAGTAATTTTTTTCCCCTCCTTTTTTCTTCATCTCAATTGAGGACATGTGCATTCTGGTTCCTTTTTTGATGCGGTTTGCAACATTCCCTACTGTTGTTGACTGCACTGGAACGTATTGCACTGGTGTGAACTAGGGCTATTGGTTTTTATGTTAAAAACTCTGACAATGCATTTTTGATGCAGGATAAAAGTGCACTGGACTGCATCTGGTGAGAATCAGCTCTAAGTAAAATATACACCAGTTCACAAAAAAAAATAGGATGCAAATGTCCTAAAAGTTCAGGTACTGACAAGAGTTGTCAAAATTCTTCTTTGGACCTCAGGAAGATGGTAAATCAGAAACTATGTCCTCAGTGATGGAATTAAAGTATATCTAAGCCCAAGAACAAAAATGTCAAACTGAAGCTTGCCAGTTCTTAGACTGGAGGCTTTATTTTTTTTCTCAGGCTAAGAACATTTTTCTGTAAATACAGAAAAAATACCCAATGATCCTGATAGAAATACAGTTTGCTTGTAATATTCTGTGTACCAAACTACTAACTACAAAACCCATCTTCCATATGTACTGGACATGAGGAGAAGGGGAGGTGTTTGTAGTCCAAATCAGGAGAGCAGCCTGGGGTCAAATCACAGAGAGCAGTGAATGAGTGTGGTCACCCTAGAAGTGTGTGTCTGGCAGGATCAGTGGGTAAAAATAGGGAAAAAAAAAAAATGGCCTTAAAAAAAAAATTACTGATGCAGTCACCTTATCTAAGGACTGGTAAGCGTTGGATGGTATGCAGAGCTGTTTTTGTGTTTAAGGACCCTATGGGGTTGATTTACTAAAACTGGAGAGTGCAAAATTTAGTGAAGCTTCCAGGTTTTTTGTCAAAGCTTAACCATGGGCTCTCCAGAGGATTTACCCCCCTTCCTGACCAGGCCATTGTTTGCGATACGGCGCTGGATTATTTTAACTGACAACTGTGCAGTCATGCAATGTACATAAATTAAATTTATGTCCTTTTTTTCCCACAGACAGAGCTTTCTTTCGGTGGTATTTGATCACCTGTGTGTTTTTTATTTTTTGCGCTATAAACAAAAAAAGACCGACAATTGAAAAAAAAAAAAAAAAAAAAAAAAAATATATTTTTGACTTTTTACTATAAAACATATCCAGTAAATCAAATGTATTTATGTATTCATAAATTTAGGCCAAAATGTATTCTGCTACATGTCTTTGCTAAAACAAAATCCCAATACATGTCATTTAATTGGTTTACATGAAAGTTCTAGCGTCTACAAATGGCGGTATATATACTGGAATTTTATATATATATATTTTTTTATGCTAGTAATGGTGGGCAAACAGCGACTTATAGCGGGTCTGCGGCTGGCATTCTGACACTGGGTGGGAACTGACTAACTGCCACTGACATCCCAATGACACTAATACAGTGAACAGTGCTAATAAAAAGCACTGACACTGTACTAATGACACTGGGCAGGAAGGTAAATTAAAAAACGAATTCTCCTGCGCTCTAGGACCCAGACGGGTGGCGAATGGATGGAACCAGACCTGGAAAAATCGACCACCAATGCATGTAGGGTTGTGCGGCTCCAAACAAGGCTGGGGAAGCCCGACCAATACTGCAGAACGATGCTCTGATGAAAAGGGACACCCTTCGAAACGCGTCAGTTGTACTGAATATCCATCCCCTTGATGGGATTCGCGCTGTCTTCAAGTCCCTTTGAGGACTTACATGCCTGATTTTATTCGCTGTTTGTGACTATATTTTTATAATTAATAAATTTTGGTTACTGAGGTAATGCGCAAGGTTGGTGCGCTTCTCGTTTTCATTTCGTTCTGCAGTACTGGGCAGGAAGGGGTCAATTGAACATGCTGAAATTAGAAGCTGATTGGCTACCATGTACATCTGCACCAGATTTGCACTCTAGTTTTAGTAAATCAACCCCATAGGGTCCTAAACACAAGTACCGCTCTGCATAGCATCCAAACCGCTTACCAGTCCTTAGATAAGATGACTGTATCAGTTCCTGCAGAGCACAGAATTCCTGCATTCATCTGACCTTGAGTACAGTGTCCAGTTGCCACATATGTTAGTCTGTTATGGATTTTGACAGGCTGCTGGCAGCAGGGCTGGATGCTGCACCTATGCCTCCTGGGTGCCCAAAGATGCAGTGATTTTGTGCATTTAAGCTCTTACCATAGCACAGTCAGGGATCCACTTAGATCCATAGTGATTATAACAGATCAAAGTCTCTAGGCCCTAAAACCTGATTGTATTGGCTGACGTATGCTCTAGGTAACCACCAGAGTGTATCTAAAGCCTGTGTATGAAATGTAATTAGACAGAGCAGCAAGAGTGTAGTATATGGGAAATGCATCAAAAATAACTTTTATGTAAACTTTGCAGTAATAACTCAAAATGTGTACTTGCCATATAATGTAGACCAAAAGTCAAGAAGTTCAGAAAATCTAAATGGGCTAAATGTGGGCTAATGGGCTAAACTGCCCAAACTAAAACTAGAGTCCTGACTATCACAATGAAAATATATACAAAGCCATTATACAGCAAAAAAAAAAAAAAAAAAAACTTTCCTAGAAAGGTGAATGTTCCCACAATTAGAATGATATCCTTGTGGACTTTTAGAGCAACATGTCTCAATCATATTTTTCTTTTAGTCTTTCAATTTTTGTATCATGATGTGAGTGTTTTCTATAAATTATTCTTTATTTAAAACAAAAGAGAAAAAGTCCATGCTATAGTCAGTCCACGTAAAAAATAAGTTTCCGCATAAACCATCAGTTCTACTTCCCTGGACGTTCACTGAAGAATTGAAAATAAAATGTACAATAAGTGGAAGAGTATGTCACTATAACACTGTCCGTGTGCTCGGTATGGATGGGACATCACATGGAATACAATGGTGGGCTGGTTATTCCAGATTGGGCCTTCTTCTGAGCTAATTCAGCTTTTAGCACATCCAGATCCAAAGATGCTTGTTTCCTCATCTAAAACAGAAAAAGAAAAGCACTTTTTTTCCTAACAATTTAATTCTTAGTGCTATCTGCAGATTCACATTTACTTGCTGGCCTGGTCCCCATTGTTTCTGGCATCGAAAGTGAGGGGGGGGGACATTAAAATTTTACTGTTGTCACTAGGATAAGAGTAGTGGGTGAATCTGATGGTAACACCTGTGGCAATGACATCTGTCAAATTTGGGATTGCCCCTCACGCTGGCAATCCACATCCTAATGCCTTTGTGAAGAGGAAATGGGAAGAAATTTCCTTAACTGGGACTTGCCAGCAGCAGGATCACCATGCAGGACACAGCACTCTCATTCATGCAGCATGAAAGTGAAACATACAAGAGTTCCTGCCAACAGCAAAATCGATGGGTGACATGGGTCTAACTCAGGATCACGTAACTAAGGAAACTGGATTTACAGTATGTTGTAAAGCTAAAGAACAGACAAGTAGATAGATACAGATATGGCACTTGTGATTCAGGCACTTCTGTCAAATACAAAAATTTCTGCGATCACCCTAACCCCCTCCTCAACACATGCTGCTGTATACATATCTAAATGATATAAAAATTAAAAAAAACAACAACTTTATATGCAACACACAATGCTACCCCCCAGAAAAAAATATAAATAAAATATACATTCAATCAAAACATCAATGCATCAATAAATTTATACAATAATTAAATAATTTGCACAGCGGTTTTGTCATTTATTATTTTAATGTTCTTATACATTTTTATTAATGCATTGGTGTAATGGTTGAATGCACTTCTTTTTATTTCTACAGATGATTTGTTATGGTATTGATTATTATTTTTTTTATATTTTTTGGGGTAGCACATCCTGGTCCCTATCCTCCACTGCAATTAAGTAATATAGACAGGTCACGGATGACCTCACTGAATGGATGATGGAGAAGCAGACTGCATAAGGTCATTCTTTTGCTCTTCCCTCTTCTGCAAGCATGTTCACCATTTTAGACTGACAGCACTGTGCAAAGCAACAGAGCCCCAAT